AAGCAGCTCAAGGCCCATGTCCAAAGTGTACCTGTTCCCGCTGGGACCTGCTGCAGGAACACGTTTGAGGGAAGCAGAGGCTCAGCGAGGTTGAGGATGATCAAAGCCACAGCCAGCAGAGCTCAGGCGTCACCAAGAACAGGCAGCAAATCCCCGGTGCAGGGAGATAATGGGCTGATCCCAGAGCTGAGTCAGCCTGCATCCACCCACCAGATCCCCCTGCAGCAGCTCCCGGAGCCAGCCTGCTCTGGGCAGCCCTCCCCCAGGTTCAGTTCCTCCAGCACAGCCAGGAACGGTGTCTGCCATGTGGGACCTGGTCCCAGGCCCTTCCCTGGCCAAGGGGGATGCCACATAGGGCTCTTGTTTGAGGTCTTCTTTAAAGACACTTTTATTTTTGCCTTTTTCTCTAGGATGGAGAAGACCTTAGCTTCATGGCAAGTTCCGGATGCAAGTGGATACAGCCCTGAGCCTTTGTGTCTGCTAGTGGGGCAAGGACACAGGTGGGAACAGCTGCTATTTCATGCAGAGCACCCTCATTTTCAGAGTAATGTACTTTTTTAGCAAATAAACCTCTTCTGAGGGAAGTTTTCTTGCCGTGTGGATGAAATGGAAACATTTTATGAGAAGCAATTAAGTACCACTTTAGCCTCCTGCAGGGGCAGCCATCTGGCCACTAGGGCAGAAGGGGGGCTCCCATGGGCAGAGTGGGTGTGCAGGGACCCTTCCAGTCACAAATCCTTGGTGGGACACAGCAGCTCTCCGTCGTTAGGATCTCTGAGGCAGCCAATCTTCCCTCTCCTTGTTCAGCCAGTTACTCATTGACTCACTTTACAGCCTGGGTAAACACTGACAGCAGTGCCCAGGCTGTGCCCCTGCCCTGGGTTACACCGTGCCCTACACAGGCATGGCCACTGCCAAGCCCTCTCTGTCCCCCACGTCCAAACCCACTCCCTCACCTCTACTCCATGTGGTCACAGCCCAAAGCAGGGATGGCCCTGTGTAGAACTGAGAGGTGGGTTTGATTAGGGAGGGGGAGTACCTGTGGTCCAGGAGATCTCGGGGATGTTCACAGCCTGCCCAGCCTCTGCTGCCAGGGCCAAGGGGATAGAGCCCTCCCTGTGCCCACACCTGCCCCAGGAACAGGGCGTTTGTTGCCCATAGAGCCAGTGTTGCCAGCTGGGGGGGGGGGGGGGGGGGGGGTGTGTCAGGGGGTGCACACCTGGCAGGGGAAGCTGGGTAGCAATGGGCGAAGGGTCTTTGCCTGCAGAGCGAGTGGGAGAGCTTGGTCCAGGAGACACGGGGCTGCTCCAGCAGAGGCTCTCCAGGGAACACCTGCAACCTGGGGTGCCTGGGGCTGGAGTGAAGCCGGCTGTGCTGGGGGCTGTGGGGTGGTGGGCAGGCTGGAATCCGGCCGTGATGGTTCCTGGGAATTAACATCCAGACTGCTCCCACCCATCTGTGACCTCCTTCACAGCTGGCAGGCCCTGAGTTCATGGCCACAATGCACGAGGGGAGCTGGAAAGGCAGAGACAGCCACTCCTTTCCAAGTCAGTCCTGGAGCTCCAGGCAGGACACAGCAGGAGGAGCCTTGGTGTCTCTGCCAGGGAAACAGCGGCCATTGCCCAGGTGGAGCAGGACCCTCCTCTTCACACCTGCAGCCAGCTGGGAGACCTGGAGCTGCACGTCCCTCTGCCAGTAGGAATAGAGCAGCGGGTTCAGGAGGGAGTTGCCCAGCCCCAGCAGCCAGAGGAAGTTCTCAATGACTTTGTAGGGGAAGCACTCAGGGCAGGCCAACTGCACAACGCTGGCGATGAAGAAGGGCAGCCAGGAGAGGGTGAAGCACCCGATGAGCACGGCCACCGTGCGCATGGCCTTCATGTCACCGGTGGCACGGGGTGGGACACAGCCCCCACCCAGCCCCGCCTGCTCCACCTCCTGGATGTGCTGCACGTGCACCGAGGCGATTTTCAGCATGTCACAGTAGAGGTAGAGGAAGAGGAAGAGTGTGGGGAAGAAGCCGAGGCAGAACATAGTGAGCATGTAGGAAGGCTGGAAGACGTTGAAGAAGGAGCATTTCCAGTGGTTGGAGATCCTCTGGAAGTGGGGGATGAAGACCGGGAGAAAGCCAACGATGGCAGCAAACAGCCAGAGCCCCACCAAGCACAGTCCAACCCGCAGGCCTGTCACCAGCTGGAAATAGTGGAAAGGCTTCCGGATCGCCAGGTGCCTGTCACATGCAACCAGGGTCAGGGACAGGATGGAGGCAGCACAGGAAGAGGTCACAAAAGCCATTCTCAGGATGCAAAAGTTCTGGGAAGGATGAAAAGGCTGGGAAAGCTCATCCATGGCCAGGCCCATGACTGTGAAGCCAACCATGGCATCCGCCAAGGCAAGATTGAGGACAAAACAGAGCCCCTTGGAGCCGCTCTTCCGGATGTGGCAGAGCAGGACAATGGCCACCGGCACGTTGGCAGCGATGATGAGTGAGGCCAGCACGGCGAGGATGGCTCCCAGGGCCCAGCTGGCCGTGGTTGCCTCACGTGAGACACACCACAGGGATGCTGCATCCCCAACACAATTCCCAGCCATCACTCACCTGGGGCCTCTCAGCAGATGCAACCTGGCAGCAGGCACAGCCCCTCGATCTCCGGGGAGCAGCAGGAGCCTGGGGAGCACGGCTGTCTCTGGGGGAAGCAGAGCTCTGCCAGCAGCTGTCTGTGGAAGGGACTGCTGGACTCGCTGCTGTGCCCGCGGAGGTCCCTCCCCTCCAGCCACGTTTCCAGACAACCCTGGAGCAGGGGGTGAGCAAGGAGCACCTGGGCAGGAAGCTGCCACGGTGGCACATGGGGGGGTGGCTGTCCCCCCCCAGGCACCAGAGGCTGGAGCAGAGCAGTGCCTGCTCAGACTCAGGGGCTGGGAATAGGGACAAGCACAGAGAGTTCCCAAAGTCCAGCACAGCTCGTGGGGCTCCTGGGGGTCACTGCCAGACCCAGGACAGCTTCTTGCTGCTGGGACCAAGGGAACACCACTGACACCCTGCTGGAACAGCAGCCCTGAAGGCGACCTGGTTACAATGGGGAAAAGTACTGACAAGGGATGTGGGCTCAAACAGATGGACAAACATCTGCCAGCCTGGAACAGCAGCATTCACAGCTGGGAACCTGCAGTGCCCTTGGCAAGCACAACAGGGAGCCCAGGGTATCCTTGGAGAGGCTGCAACCAAAGAATTGCTGGAACCTGCAGGGCAAAAAACCACCACAACCTGCAGAGGGGCCTTGGATCCAGGTAGAAGGCAGCCATGGCCCTCTGAGAGCTGGTGTCTTCTGCCCACTCATGGATCCATGCAGAAGTAACTGGCTGCTGCCCCAAAGAGCCTCTCCCTGTCCTGGAGCTCCCCCTGCACAGCCCTTCAGATCCCCAGGAACACCAGGCTCGCTCCAGGCCCCATGACACAGATCATATCCAAAGGGAGACCTTGTCCATCATTGACTGACCTCAGTCCTGCAGGAGTTTGATGAACTTTGCCGTGATACTTCCAGTGAGATCTATGTAAGTGCTACTAACAGTAAAAAATAATGATTCTATGTACACACTCCCTCACTTTGCTAGTCGTGAGTGTATTTACCCAATAGTAACTTGTAACAAAGAAATTCATGAAAGCAAAGCCTCAGCATCCTTGTGCTACAGAATCCCACAACACCCCTTACACCTCCCGGGGGGATTGACCTTCACAGGGTCTGACAGTGATGGCTCCGGCCCCTACACAGTGTCACAAGCCTCTTCTGCCTCACGAGCTGGAAAAATCCGAGCTGCCAGGAAATGGGCAGGACTGAGTGTCTGTCTGTCAAACAGTGACTGGGGAGAGGGCGGGTGGGGCGGGAAGGGCACTGCCAGGGGGCAGGGGCTCGGGAATGGGGGCAGCTGCGGCCGCAGGACCCTCCGTAACACCCGGGCTCTGCACTGCCACGGAAGGGTTGTGGTGGCCTTACACATCCTCTACTTCTGTTTGCTCAGGAAGACATCTGGGGAGACTTTGCCCTGATGTTGGAGAGAGTCCAAACCCTCGAAATGAGATCAAGGGCAAGGGAGAAGTGGCAGGGCAGTGAGGAGCAAGTACAGGCTGAAGCCAGTGCCTCCCTCTCCTGCTCTACTGTCATTTTTAGCTTTCACGTATCAGGAGGACGTGTATTTCTACCTTAAACACCTGAGGAGGGCTGACTGGTTCCCATGGAGCCTTCCATGTTGGAGTTCCACCCCCGGAGCTTCCTGTGTGTGCAGGAGCAGGTTCCCACACAGTGCCTGGCACAGCCTGCTGAGCTGGGCCCGCACAGAGAGCCCTGCTCAAGGCAGGATTTCAGCCCAAGCGCTCAGGGGAGTCACCTTCCCTTCCCCTGCAGTTTCTACAGGCAGCTCTGACTTTGTAACACCAATTCCCTCCCATTCTTGCCAGTGGGATTTGGCTGAACGTTCCTTGTAGGACTTGCACAGAAACTCAGCTCACAGCAGGCTCAGCCAGGACATACTCCTGTGTCACCAGGGACCTTCATCCAAACCAAAGCCACCCCACAAGAGGAAAGGGAGCAGGATCATAAAAACCATTTGCTTTGGTTATTTTTTAATGTTTATAGCCATAAACATTAAAAATAACCAAAAATCAGAAGAGGATGACCAAAATATCCTGCTCAGCACCAGAATCACCATTTTCAAGTGCTGAGCTCACCTCTAAAGCACAGAACCTGGCTTTACAAATGATTTAAGCAAAAACAGTGTAATAATAAGCAAGAATTTAAGAGACTGAGGTTTCGCAAAATTGAGCTGAGAGGGCAACAGGGTCATTTTCTGATACTAACAAATTTGGGTTTAGAAATATCTCTACTGAAATGAATCCTACAGATTCATTGGAGAATAAAGGGGTCTATAGCATGATGAAAACCACGCTGCTGTGCTCTCCAAGGGCAGACACCCCTGCAGTGAATAAGCACAGACCCAAACTCAAGCTATCCAGTCAATAAATAATTTAATGAAGTGACAAGTTCTGCAAGAAACATGATGACAATGGCACCTTCACAGGCCCCGCCCCACGGGCACGGGAGGAGACCCACACCTGCAAGCCACGAGCCACAGTGCCCCAAAGGCCACTGGAACACACAGATCTTCATAGAAGATATTCCTGCAGGCTCAGGCACACAGACACCTCCGGGTGGGAAACATGCGGCCCCCGCCTGTGCCAGGCAGCTCGTGCTCCAGGGACCGTGCATGTGGGGAGAGCCCAGCCCACAGGGACCAAACACCACGACATGGGGACAGTGGGATGAAGAGGGAGGTGGCAGCACAGCTCTGCTGCCAGCCCCGAGGATGACTCTGGTGAGATGAAGGCAGCTCTCAGAAGGGGAGGCGCTTCAACTGCTCATACGTGATAAAAAACTGAAGGGAACGTCAAGGAATTGGGACAGATGTGAGGCAGCTGCCTGGCAGGGTGGGCACAGCGTTCAGCTGGGCTGGACACCCATCCAGGGAGCTCCTTAAACCCACCTATGGAGCTCCTTGTCCAGGCAGCACAACCTGACCTGCCCAGGTGGAACAGAGATGGGGCACAGGTGCTGCCAAGAGTGGAGAGACGGACCCAGAGCAAACCCAGCCTTGCCCAGACCTCTGGGAAAGGGAAGCGGCTCCAAGCCCAGACTGGGAGCTCTTTACAGCGAACTCCCCACCCAGTTTCAGCAGGCAGAATGCTCTGGCTCAGCACACAGCAGCGCTGGTCCTGCACAGTCAGCACCTGCCTCAGCAGCAGAATGTTCCCCATGATTCCCTCTCAAACAGGAGCTCATCCAGGAATCTCCTGCAGCCCAGGCCACGCAAGGTCTCAGCCAAGCCCTCAGAGGCTCTACAGGAACCATCAGCAGTGCCCATTAGGGTCCCCAGTGCAACCTATCGGGGTGTCAGCTCTGCCCTGCCCTTCCCAGCGGGGTTCTCCCCTTGTCCCACTCCACCACCTCCCAGCAGCATAGGGAAGGATACAATGATATTCCAGGGACCCAGACGAAGCCAGTTGGGCCAGAAGCCTTTGTAGAGTGCAAAGAAGCCCTCACTCTTCCATGTCTGGGAGGAGAGACAAATGGATGAGGAGACACACCAGGCCCAGGCCCTGCCACCTCCCTCCCCAGTGCCACGTGTGTGCCACTGGTCCTGCCCAGCAGCTGCAGGGAGCAGACAGGCCCGTGCAAGTGTGTGCAGCATCACTTACAGTCTGTGAACCCTGCTACCTGCATCATGGCCTGAACTTTGTCCCAGGAGGCTGGGAGGAGGCTGAGGCCGACAGTGGCCTCAGGAAAGTGACTCTGGGCCTCTCCCACCTCAGTGATGACGCACTGTGTCACTGCAGGATCTCACTGCTCCCATCAGTGTGGTGCTGAGACCTGGCCAGCCTCCCAGGACAGGGGTGTGCCCACCTGCCCCCTCACCTTGATGAGGCCATCCAGAGTGCCCTTGTAGAGCTCGGTGCTGCCCACGATCGCGCGCTGGTTCATCATCCGCGTCCGCACCACGTCCACGGGGTTGGAGGCGATGGCTCCCGCCAGCCCGCACGTGAAGCTGGAACTGCACACACCAAATCAGGGCAGGGACAGCCCTGGGCACGGCCACTCCCGCTCAGACATACACAAAATACCTTCCACTGGACTTCAGCAAAGGCATTTAGCAATGAACATGAGGTGCACTACCTGCTCCTAGCTGGAAAAGGGGCAGTGTGGGGCTGCCACAGGACCCTGTGGAGCTCAGGGGAGGGAAATGCTCAGTTCAGCTAACCCAGACCCTCACCTGAGCCCACAGCTGGTTCCACAGGACACTGGCAGCCCCGCAAGGGTCCCAGGTGCTGCCCAGGTGACACAGATGTGAAGGCACCCCCTGGGAGTGCACATCCTTCCCACCAGAGTAAACATTTCTTCGGGAAGGAGGGAGGAAGAACAAAGACACCAGAAAGGACCACAGAGCTGCCAGTCTTCCCCTCCACAGAGAGTCTAGTGTTCCTCACCCCAGCTGGCAAAGCCAATGGAAGCATTGCAGCATTTGCAACATGGAGGTGAAAAAGGATTCCAATGTTCTCCGCCAGCCCTGCCCAGAGCAGGCTGACTGCAACACTGACTGACTGCTCTGGGTCCTACCAGCTTTGTGCTTGCTCCTCTCTCAAGGCTCTTCCAGCAGTGGCTGCAAGATGACAGGGTCTGGACAGATGAGGACTAGGGATTAGAGCAGCTTTTGAGGGATTGTTACACATAGCTACACACATGGATCTCCTGCCTGGCTCATACTAGGGCACAGATGTGGGGCAACATTTCTGTCATTAGCCAGCTGAAACCAAGCTGGCATTTCATGTCACCAAAGGATTTCTGCCAGGTCCTTCCCCAAGGAGGTCTCTGGGAGGTGGGGATGGATTAGTGGTGGCCTTCGCAGTGCTGGGGGAACGGTTGGACTCAATGGTCTTGGAGGTCTTATCCAACCCTAATGATTACACACCTGCTGCTAACTCTGAACTGTTCCAGCTGACAGAGCAGGTCCTTTGGAAGTACTAACCCTGCTCCAGATCCTCTGGAAGCACTAACCTGCTCCCTGCAGCTCCAGAGCCCTCACTCCACAAATGGTCTTTCCCCAGCCCCACCTGGCTCCTCTGCCTCACACAGCCCCCCAAGCCTGCAGCAGGTACTCACACAAAGTGGGCAAAGATGGTGTCCCCCATGAGGCCTGACAGGATCAGATGCTTCTTGGTGATGTCGTAGACTGGCAGCTCCACCCCCACCACGATGGCCGCTCGCTGGGCCGTGGGGACAACACCCTGTGCAGTACGGACACTGTCACCAACTGCAGCCACATCCCCCAGCTCCTCGCAGGGCCTTCTCCTGACAGCCTTCCCTGTACCCTCCCTGCAAGCACACCACCTGCCTCCCAGCTTTGCTTCAAAGCCAAGGAGGATGTCTCCACTCTGGCAGCGTTATTCCAGCTGGATTAACTCCACACTGCTTCCCTGCTCCCAGCACCAGCACGCGGGAACTAGGCTGTCACCCCCTCACCTCCTGCACCAATTTCAACACCAGAAAAGATTCTGCCTCACAAGAGCAGCAGTTTAAGGGGCTAGGAGGGGCTCCAGCTGCTCCTTGCTACAGAACAGCAGGAGAGCACCTGCTTCCCAAAGATTTTTCTTAGTTCTGCTGCTGCTGGGGGATTCTAGGAGTTGGTGCTCACCCTCCAGAGGCCTCGGGTACCTTCCTGCTGGTAGATGTCAATGAAGCTGCCAATCATCCCACCCTGGAACAAGCTGCCCTGAGCCTGCATTCGGATCTGAAAGAAAGGGAAGAGTCAGCAAGCGGACGTCAACACCTGCCCTGACACCAGCACTTGCCCACAGGAAAAGGACACCAGGGACAGCAGCTCCATGGAACTCCTGGGAGAAAGAACAGAGCAGCTCACAGCACACACTGTTCTCCACGTCCCTCTCCCTGCAAACCACAAGGACAAGGATGGCAGCAGGCAGGGGGCAGGGGCAGCAGCAAGGTGGGGGCACAGGAACATGAGGAACAAGGCCTTCCCCCTGAAAGCAATCCCAGAAGGGGAATCTACACAGGGAGAAGAGTGGGGAAGTTCTACAGGCTCTCTCTGCCCAGAGCAGGGCTACCCTGAGCCCAGGGCACCAGACAGTCCCCACTGGGCTGTGCTCACTCCATGTAACAGGCAGGCCCTTGGGGCAGTGCCAGCACCATGACCAAGGGGACAGGAGCAGCTGGCTCACCTGACTCAGGTTGGGTAACACAGCTCCCACCCCTCACCAGTACAAATGTCATGATCCTTGTTGCCCAGAGAAGCTGTGGCTGCTCCATCCCTGGAAATGTTCCAGGCCAAGTTGGACAGGGTTTGGAGGAACCTGGTCTAGTGGGAGGTGTCCCTGCCCGTGGCAGGAGGTGGAAGGAGATGGTTTTTCATGTCCATCCCAACCTAAACCATCCCAGGATTCTGTGGTCTTTAAGATCTGTGGTTTTAACTATCTATTAATGACCATGGGCTTTGGCCCCCATTCATTAAAAAAAACCCAAACAAGCAGAACTGGTGGCTCAGGGAGCACTGAGCTGCTCCTCCCATGGGTCCCACAGCCAGCCAGGAGCAGCCCTTACCTTCAGCACATCTGTGGGATTGGCCAGCGCAGAGGAGATGACCCCCGAGACCACCCCACAGATCACATTGATGAGCAACGTTTCATCTGCAACCAAGGAAAGAAGGACAGACCCTCACTGCAGGGGACACAGTAGGAGGGAACAAGGGCTGGGTAGAGCAGCTCAGTTCTCAAATCAGATGGTGAAGCTGCAGGAGCAGGGCCTGGGCAGGTGCCACAGCCCGTGACAGGTCTGTCCCCACACCTGTCAGGGACAGAAGGTGGCAGCTGAAACACTCAGCAATGCACTCTCAGAGGGTCTGACTGATGAGAAGGAAAATCCTGGGACATGTGAAAATTGTGAACAATTATCTGAGATTTCTTGTTGCAGGGATGAGCCAGGACAGAGGCAGACAGAGAGGGACAACCCAGTGTTTCCCCAGGCCCCCTGAATTTGCCTACACGCAGCCACTTGGAGCCAGCTGAGAACTGAGAACAGGCAGGGAGTTAGATGTGATTAGTGCCAGGGAATAACCCCAGATTCCAGGCCCAGTGTTAGGATGATGGTTACATTGGGAAAACACACAGGCCCTTGCTGGTACTGACCACGACACTTCCCAGAGGACACCAGGCCACTGGCTGCCCCAGGCCTGTAGGGAGACAAACATCCAGGCATGGAGCTCACAGCTGAAAAGGCTGGAACAGCGAGGGGGGTGTGGGGACTGTGTACACAGACAGAACCACACAGGGAGAGGTCTTACTAAAGCAGGACAGCAGCCCTGAATGGACCTCTAGAGTCACAGAATCTCCTGAGATGGAAGGGTTCCACAAAGATCATCCAGTCCAACTCCTGATCCGGCACAGATCCCCAACAATCCCACCCCGTGCCTGGGATTGCTGTCCAAATGCTCCTGGAGCTCTGGCAACCTTGGGGCAGTGCCCCAGCACCCTCTTGGGGAAAAAAACCTTCTCCTGATACCAACCTAACCCTCCCCTGACACAGCTTCATATAGTATGGCCCATCCCGCTTTCCCAGGCTGGAACAGTGTTACCACATTCCCTCACATCACAGCAGGTATGGAAACCTCACCTGCAGATCTCGGTGCTCCCTCAGGGAACATCCACCAGACTCTTGCTGCTCCACTCTCCAGGCAGGAGCTGCAGAGGGCACAGGTCAAGGGCACTGGTGGAACCTCACCTTTACAGTCAGGGCCAAAGCCAGAGAGCTGGACTGCACAATTCCTATCCAGAACATGCCTGGCTGTGCCAGGTGAGGCTCAGGTTGGACATCAGGAGGAATTTCTTCACGGAAAGGGTGGACAGGCATTGGCAGGGGCTGCCCAGGGAGATCTGGAATCCCCATCCCTGGAGGCGTCCAAGGAAGGACTGGAGGTGGCACTCAGCGCTCTCGGCTGGGGACAAGGTGGGGATCAGACACAGGTTGGACGTCTTTTCCAACCCAAAGGATTCTGTGATTCTCCTATGATTTTGTGAAAGGAAGGAAGCTGGCTGAAAGGAGATGTTTGGGTAGGAACCACAGGCAGTGCAGAGCACAGTGAGGTTCCAATCAGGACTGAATCCAATCCTTGCTCTCACTGACAAACAAAACCACAGCACCCAGTAATAGAGCTCCATTCCTGTGGGAATCTTGGGGTGGAAAGGACAGAGCAAGGAATGAGCAAAACACACAGCCCGGAGTGTGAGGTGGGGGAGCTGGGAGGTGCTCGCGCTGCCCTTCCCAACACCGACCTTCCATGCGATCCACAAAGAGCCGCTTCAGGCTCTGGTAGATCCCGATCTTGATAGTGCCATAGGACGCCTGTCTCAGCAGTGCCGGGGCGATCCTGAGGGGGAACGGACCCTGAGCATCCCTGTGGGCTAGCCCGGGCCACTCCCCCACCCGTCCTCAATCTGCGGGGGCCAGGCACGACCCCGCTGGGGCTCCGAAGAATGCAGCTCTGCCCGGGTTATCCGGGATTGCCCCACACACCCCCGTGCCAGGAGATGGCACCCACGCAGCCCTGGCCCTGGGAACACCAGGGGACTCCGCTCAGGGGGACAAGGCAGGGAGAGCTCCAGGGGGTCACAGCAGCATACAGGAAATGGGGAGCCGGGATGGGCAGAGAGCAAGGGAGTGGAGGGATGCCGTGACAGAAGGTGGAAGAGGGGGCCCGGGCTGGGGACGGGGTGCCCGGACAGAGGTAGGGCAGGGCTGGGGTGGGCAGAGGGGAAGAACCCGGGATGTGGGGGAGACCCGGGGAAGGCAGGGGGAGATGTCGGGGGCTGGGAGAGGTCCCTGGGGTGGGTATTGGGAGGGCCTGGGGTGGGCGGAGGGAGATGTCGGGATGGAGGGGGAACCTGGGACGAGCATGACAGACAGGGCAATGCTGCAGCCGAAGAGGGAGCCCAGCACAGGCGGTGGGAGCTCCTGAGCCAGAGGGGAAGGACCCGGGGCAGGCGCCGGGGAGGCCCGGGGGAGTGCAAGGAGGCGCCGGGCCGGGTGGACAACCCGTGGCAGACGGGTAGGCGTCCCGGTATGGACGGAGGGGGCCCCGGGAGAAGCGGCACCCGCTGCCGATGGGCCCCGGCGGGCCCGGCCCGGTACTCACCCCGAGTACAGGGCCCGTCCGCCCTCCTCGCGGCAGATGCGGAAGAGCGCGTGGAACATGCCCCGGTACCGCACCTCGCGGAACCGCGCGTCGGCGCTCTGCCCCTGCACCTGCAGCCGCGTCTTGGTGAGGTCCACGGGGAACGTGCCTGCGGGGAGAGCGGGGACACCGGCCTCAGCGCCCGCCGGTACATGTGCCGGTCCCGCCCGTCCCGGTCCCGCCCGGCCCCTGCGCCTCACCGAACTCGGCCACGATGGAGGCGAGCCCGCCATACACGAAGGGTTTCCAGTTGAGCGCGGACATCGCATGGCGGGCGGACACCGCCGCGCGCGCCGCCGCCACCGGGCCGGGACCGGAACCGGAACCGCGGCCGGAACCGGGCTCTTCACCGCCGTGCCGCGCGTGCCCCCTGCCGGCCCCGGCGGCACCGCGCCGGGACGGTGGAAGCCGCAGGGGCTGCTCTCACCCCAACCTCGCCGCACGCCCCTCGGCTGTCGCGGAGCGATCCCGGCTGCTCCGGGGAGGAAATTCCCCCTTGCGCCTAGAACCGGCACGGACCCGACTGGAGGGATTACTCGTTATAGGAACCAAATCCAGCTAAAGCCCCTCCCTTGTCCACCCTGCGAATCCCACGCTCCATCCCTCCCGGTTTTCCAGCCAAATAAGCCTAAAATAAGCGTAAGAAAAACAGGTGACGTCTCCTTCCTGGCCCCCAGACAGGAACACTGCTCCCGGGACCAGCTTCTCCCTAACAGGAACTTTTATTAAGAAACCTTTAAACAAATCCACGATAAATCACCCCAACACAGCGGTGCAGCGCTATGGATACATCATGGAATCCAGAAGATGCTGGGTGGGCACAGGGCCCAAACCCGGCCCATGAGGACAGACAGGACACCCAGCAACCTCTACACCCAGTGCAAGGGGACACGGCCCCAAGGGAGTTATGGAAGGGGAGCGTCCTGCTGCTCCCAGCCTTCACTGCTTGACACCCTCCTCAGTTGAAGGACAAACCCCTGTCCCAGCCAACAGCACAGGCAGCGTGGAGAGCCCTGGCCGTGGGATGAGAGGCAAGGGGAAGCTCGCAGGTGAAAGGTCCAGCCATGGCATCCCAGGAGCTTGGAGCAGGTTTGGGCAGGCTCAGAGCCTCCCTCACCCTAAATGCTCACCCAGGGCTCAGCAGCGACCAGAGTCTCTGCCAGAGCCCCGCTCCCTGTGCCTGGAATGGGGCTCCCGAGATCTGCCTCCCCTGGGAGACGCGTCATGCCGGCTGCTGTGCCCATCGCCCCTCCTGCCAGCCTCCTCCCTCTTCTCCCGCTCATCCCAGGAGCTGCTCTGGCCCCTTTGCTCGCGGCAGTTCTTGTCCCCCCGGCTGTCCGAGTGCCGCTGGTGCCGCCGCTGCTCCTCATCCCGCTGCGTCCTGCTCCCGGCGTTCCTGTCGGTGCTCCCGCCGGCATAGCGCTCGTACCCAGGGTCCTCCTTCTCCTTCTTGATCTTGATCCTGGGATGCGGCTCCTCCGTGCTCACCCGCTTCCCAGCTTGTGGGCTCGACTTTGACCGTTCTGCTCTGCTCCGCTGCTTCTCTGGAATTAGGGTTCACATTTTGGGATGGACCAAACTCCAGGAGCAGCTTGCTCCCCATGGTTCCCCTGGCATCATCCCAACTCATCTTCCACTAGAAATTCTCCCCCTCCACCCAATTTCCCAGCCTGCTTCCCCCTCAGGGAGATCCCAGTTCACTTCCAATCACAACTTTTTCTCATCCAGCTGCAGCCACCCCACTTTTAACATTCATATCATGTTCTTCCCAGCAACGCTGGGCATTTCCACACCACTTGGAATGCTGAAAACTTCCAACTTCCCTTTCATTCCCTTTCCTCAGTAATACTGTGATCCACTTTGTGGAAATTACCTCTCCAGACCTGTGGACTCTTCCCTCATGGCTCTCCTTCTCCCTGATTTTTGAGCATCTCCTCAGCACTCTGTAGCAACACCTTATTCCCACCCTCATTTTGTCCCCTTTTTTGTTCCTCCAACCTTCTCTCCATGCAGACTCCAGCCCCCAAACCCTACCATGGGCACGCCCACCTGGGATCCAGCCTGTCAGGAACACTCTTTACCTTTCTGCTTTTTCACGGGCACATCCTCATCCTCAGACGCCGAGTCAGAAGAGGTGTGAGGTGGCGTTTTGACCCCGCAGCCCTTGGCATGGAGGGCTCTAGTCACGTCATCCCAGTCCTCAGACTCCTTCGGGGGGCGGTAGTTGGCCACGTGGTCCACGCGGATGGTCCGTCCCTTGATCTGCGGGGCCGGGCTGTCACCGCCAGCTCCCAGCTCCCAGGGTCGCTGCCGACGTGAGGGAGCACTCAGGGAGCCATGGCAGCACCTGAGCTCCACTCACCTTGATCCCATTGAAGTTATCCACAGCCAGGATGGTGCTTCTCTGGTCCTCATAGCACAGGAAGCAGAAGCCCTTGGACTTCCCGGTCTTCTTGTCCCGCACGAGGTTGATGTTGACGATCTCGCCGTACCTGTGACACACACACCGTCAGCACCGCGGCAGCGCCCGCGGCGGCGGGGCCGGGGCTGCGGCACTTACTGCGAGAACACGCAGATGACATCACCCTCGGTCAGCGCGTAGTGCAGCCCGCCTGCGGGGAGAGGGGAGGGAAGGAACGGGTCAACAGCACCGGTACCGACACCGGCCCCCGCCCCTAGCCCCGTCCATACCCACAAAGATCCAAGCGCTGTCTTTGTACTCCGCGTGCCACGACACCGCCTCCTGCACGCCCAGCTCCGCCTCCCGCGCGTTCAGCTCATTAATCAGCTTCACCTTCGTCAGGGGGCTGCGGGCGAAGCACCATCAGCACCGGCACCGGCGGGACACGGCCGAACCCGGCCTTCGCCCGCACCCCCCCACACCTACTTCATGGCGGCGGCAGCGCGCACTGCGCCTGCGCGCGGCAGCGCCCCGCCCCGAGCCGAGACGGACGTAAGCGATAGCAGCCGAGTCGACCGATTATAGCCGAGTGGGGCCGAGTCCGGCCGATTGTAACCGAGTCAGGGCAATAATTACCGAGATAGCCCGAGCACGGCCGAACAGGGCCGATTGTAGCCGAATAGGACCGATTTTTGCAGCCGAACGCTGCACGCCGAACCGATCACAGACGATTACGGCCGACCGGGCTGAGGCGCAAAGCAAGAGTCGGAGCGCAGGGGGCTCAGAGCCTTTATTGGGGTCCGGGCGGGTCCCGCTCAGCACGGGCAGGAGCCTTTCCCGCTGGCCTCGTCCAGCCGCCGGGGGTGCGGCTGGGGCTGCGCCGGCCAGCCCTCCGTGTCCCGGCAGGGCAGCGAGCGCTGCGCCTTCAGCCGGCACACCAGGCACATGAAAATCGCGTCCACGTTCTGGCTTTCCTGTGGGTCCTTGGCCGATGTCTCAAACAAAAGCATGTTGTGAGCATCGGCGAACTTGAGGGCCAGGCTGGATGGCACCTGGATGAGGTCTTTCAAGTCACACTTGTTCCCCACGAGCACCCTGGGGACGAGCGGGGGCACCGCGTGCCCGTTGCACTCCTCGATCCACGTCTTGAGGTTGGTGAAGGAGCTCATCTTGGTCACGTCGTACACGAAGACCACGGCGTGCACGTTGCGGTAGTAGTGCTCCACCATGCTCTTCCGAAACCTCTCCTGGCCAGCTGTGTCCCACACTTGCACCTGGGAAATGAAGCAGACAAGAAAAGACACTACAGAAGTGTGGAGCAAGGCCGTGGGGAGGGCATTGCAGGAGGGCTTCCTGCTGTCCGGGTTTCAGAGAATCCCAGCATGGTTTGGACTAGAAGGCAACCTAAAGATCATACAGCCTAACCCCCTGCCGTGGGCAGGGACACATTTCACTATCTCAGGTTGCTCCAAGGTTGCTCCCTGTCCAACCTGGCCTTGAACACTTCCAGGGATCCAGAGGCAGCCACAGCTTCTCTTGGAAACTTGTGCCAGGGCTCCCCATCCTCACAGCCAAGAATTTCTTCCCAATATCCAATCTAAACCTGCCCTCCTTCAGTTTAAGGCCAGTGTCCTGTCCCTCCATCCCTTGTCCCAAGTCCCCCTCTGGCTCTCTTGGAGCCCTTTCAGGCACTGAAAGGGGGGTCTAAGGTCTCCCTCAAGGCTTCTCTTCTCCAGGCTGAAAAACCGCTGCTCTCCCAGCCTGACTTTAGAAAGGCTGCAAAGAAGCCCTCAGAGCATCTTTGCAGCCTCCTCTGGACTCATTCCAACAGATCCATGTCTATTTGTGCACCAAATCCTACGCCATGAATGAGAATGCTGACAATTTCACAGAGGAAAAGAGAAATGAGGAGTGAGAGCCACCCTTTATGTAGGAGCACAGTGGGAGGGCCAGGAGCTCTGTGGGGAAGGGTGAGCTCATGGGGGAGGATTAAAAAACAGAACAACATAGATGACATTGTAGGGGGTCTCTGCTATAGACCACCTGGCCAGGAAGAGCAAGCAGATGAGGTGCTCTGTGGACAGCGAGCAGCAGCCTTGTGTTTGCAGCCCTGGTTCTCACAGAGAACTTCAGCCACCCCAACATCTCATGGAAGGACAGCACAGCAGGGCACAGGCAATCCAGAACATTCCAGGACATCACTGATGATAACTTCCTAACCCAAGTGACAGAGATGCCAGAAGGCCTCTGGGCTGGATGAGCAGACAAGGTGGACTGGGAACTGGCTGAATGTCTGGGCCGAGACGACGCTGGTCAGTGACACAAAGTCTGGTTGAACACTGGTAACCAGCAGAGTGCCCCAGGGGTCAGTCTGGGTTCTCCTGGTAATGTTTTGTAGCCTGGAAGTGGCAATTTCCAAGTTAATCCAAATTGCCCTGTACCCATGGAGACAGTACCTGCCTTGGAGTCTTTCCAATTGAAAAACACTGGGAAAGCGGAGCTGCTGCTCAGTCCTTTCAGGGCCAGTCTCTCCCAGGCAGAGCAAGAAAAGGAGGTTCCTTGTCCCACCTCTCACCTCCTCTCTAGGATACATATCCCAGGAAAAGGCTGATTTGCTGCACCACCTCCCACTCCTGCCCACTGGAGCTCAAACAATATCCAAAGGTAGAAAACCTGGCAACATTTTCTGGATAGTGGCAGCAAATAGACTCCATGCCAGCCTGCACCACAGCTCACACCGGCATGGCTCCGTGGGGCTGGACAGCGAGGATGAGCACCTCTAAAGAAGAGAGGGAAAAACATTCATAGACAGCCTAGAAGCACAGCTGAAGCTCTCGCCCACCAACACAAGGTTGGGTTTCGTTGTGAGTTCAACTTTTGATCAGCCATCTGTCAGTACAGCAGTGATGTTTGTTCTTCCAGCATCAGCCTCAGGGACTGTAGGTGCTGATCCCCACAGCTGTGCAGGCCAAGCTCCACCACAAACTCTGCTCCCAGCTGGTTTCCTACCAGTGCCAGATTTGCTCTGACACATCAGCCACAGCTCTTCAGGTCTGGGCTGATCATTCTTTACAGGTGTCACACCAGCCATCATATGAAAATTCATCCTGCTGCAATCGCAGTTCCAGGTGCAGCTGGGAGCAGGTTCCTGCACCGCTGCTGCCACAGCAGCCGAGCCTGCTGCCGTGGGCCTGTGTGAGCTCTCAGCCTTCCAGTGTGGCTGCTGCCAGCCCACCGCCCTCTGCCCCCCCAGGCCCCCTGGCTGTGGCACAGACTCCTGTCCCCCATCCCACCACAGCTCTACCCCTCCACTGGTCTAGTGTCCGGAGCTGGAGCCACCCCAATGTTGTGAGGATCCAGCTGTGCCCATCGCAAGGGTGGCGGTGACTCACCCCGAGCCATGGCTTCTGATCTCTGCATGCTCAAGCCAACCCCAGAAATAGTGACAAGGCAGCAGGGCCTGCTTCTCGGCAACACAGGGATGAGAATTCTTCCCTGGCCCTGTTCCCTCCCTCCAACTGGGATGAAAGGAAAAGCCCCCAGGAGGGGTTTGGCAAGAGGCAGGGATGGGGACCGGCTGCCATCGCTGCTAGGGCTGCTGCCGGCCAGATCAGGGCCAGTGCAGGGCCCACCGGGGACAGAGTGGGGCTCACGGAGGATAGAACGAGGTCCACTGGAACCGGTGTGGAACCCACAGAGGGCGGAGCGAGGCCCACCAGGGCCGGTGTCGGACCCACCGCGGGCTTAGCGGGTCCCTCCGGGGCCGGTGTCAGCCAGCCCGGAGCCGGTGCGGGGCCCACCTTGATGCGCTCCCCCTCGATCTCCACCGTCTTCTCGCGGAAGTCCACGCCGATGGTGGCCTCGGTCTTGCCGGGGAAGGTGCCCCCGCAGAAGCGGAAGGTCAGGCACGTCTTGCCCACATTGGAGTCTCCGATCACGATGATTTTGAAGATGCGGGTCTGCACGTAGGGCTCCAGCGCGGGGTCGGGGCCCGGCGGTCGCCCTCCGCCGCCGCCCGCCGCCATCCCTCCCGCACCGCTGCCGCCTCACCGGCTCATAGGGGCGCGTCGCCCCGCGGACCGGCACCGGCACCGCTCGTCTCCGCTCCACACCCCGGCTACGGCACAGCTCGTCCCCGCCCCGCGGACCGGCACCGGCACAACACGGCTCCACCCCACGCACCGGCACCGGCGCAGCCCCGCCCCGCACACGGGCTACGGCACTGCACGGTCCCGCCCCGCGTACCGGCACCGGTACAGTCCCACGTACCGGGACCGGCACCCCACGGTCCCGCCCCGCGTACCGGCACCGGTACAGTCCCACGTACCGGGACCGGCACCCCACGGTTCCGCCCCACACACCGGCTACGGCACGGCCAGTCCCCGCCCCCCGTAGCGGCACCGGCACTGCGCGGCTCCGCCCTGCGCTCCCGGCTCTGGCACCGGCACTGACCCGCCACAGAGCTCCGGCCCCGGGCCAGCCCTGCGCCAAGCCACAGACCGGGGACCGAGTGCCTTCAGTCCGGGCCGGCGAGGGCATTCCCAGCGGAGCGGCAGGGACCGGCAGGGCTGCGGGCAGCGGGCCTGTCCCCTCCCGGAGGGAGCAAGAGACCGAGGGGCACAGCGAGGCGGGACCAAACAGCGGGGGACACCAACACCCGCACGTTCCCAGTGCCAAGAGGTGCCAGTGGGATCACAACCGCCGGTGCCAGGTGACCCTCTTCGTGTCCAGCTGGGCAGCCACAGCCCGTGTGCCAGCATCAGAGACCCGGAAGGGGATGTGTCCCTCCAGCTCCAGGAACAGGGCAGTGGGGAGCCAGCACCCACGGCACGAGGGCACGGGGGCTGCAGCAGCAAGCACGCACGCAAGGATTGCAGAAATGAGGCGAGCAGGTGACAATCTGCAGGAGGAAAGCCATGGCAGGAGGGGATGAGGGGACTCAGGTCAGCTGGAATGGGACAGCATCAGGCAGTGGCACAGCAACAGTGGCATGGGGACCGATGGGAACATGGGGCAGAGCCCCAGGGGCTGCATTGCTCCTGCTCACACAGCCCAGGTGATCCCAAGAGAACCAGACCACCAAAATGGGATTCTAGAAGATGACTCCTCCAATGCTAGCACTGATGAGACCTGCAGGAGCCAGAGGCTGGGAAGGATTTACCAGAGACCCCCAGTGGTCACCACCACTCCAGAGTGTCAGTGCTCATCTGCTTCCAGCAGCGTGGACATGAAACAGGGTTCACTAAGACTTGCAGCAGGTGGAAAAGCCTCAGAAAGCTGAGTCTGATGAAACACATGCCCCCCTTTCCCATTCTGGTAATGTCTGCAGGTCCTGCACTGCTCAGTGAGACACTGACGATGGCACCATCCTGCCCTAGGAATAAAGAGCAGCCACACAGGATTGTCCCCACTGAGGCTCACTCAGACTAGTTTTGGCACACAAAGGGAGCTCGGTTGAGAGACCCAATGTGCACCACAGCCCCACAGAACCATTTCTGACCACCCCCAGCGACTTCTGACCTGGCCAAAAACCTGTGGACCAAAAGTGAGATGAGGACATTGCAGAGCAACCCTTCATCCATCTCCCTCTGCAAGGACACAACACCAAGGAGGCCCAGGACCAAGCCCATCTCTCCTCAGGGGTTGCTTGATCCTCCCTGCTCAGGCCAGTTTCCCACCCTTCCACACCACCATGGAAGGAAAGTGCTTTTAGCAATGTTTTCTAGGAATTCCTGGAAGTTTTTATTCACAGAAGCTGTTTGCCAGGGACATGAGCTTCTTGCTTTCTCTTCATAGTTTCCAACTTGCCCAGCCTCTGGAATAAGATGCCAGTATCAGGTCCGAGCTGCCTCCCCTCAAAGGGACATGGTTTTCCATCATAGCGTGCCAGGAATGTCAGACCAGAGAGACCCCTCTCTCCTGGCCCGACAGCCAGCCGGGACAGCAGCTTGTCTGCCGTGAGTGGGACCACAGGCTGCAGGAGCGTCCCGTACACGCGCAGGCACTCCAGCGTGACGTGAAGGATGGTGTCCAGCCAGAGCTGCTCTGCAGCATCCCTTCGGTCAAGTTTCCAAGGCCTGTGCCTCTGGAAGAAGCCATTGGTCTGCCTCACACACTGGGCAATGCATTCCAAAGCCTTGTAGATCTGGAAGCCTTCGAAATAACTGTCCACCTGCGCAGGCAGCAAGGCCACTGCTGCCACAAGCTTGTAGTCCTCAGCACACGCCCTGCCTGTGCCTCTTGCCTCTCTGGAATCCAGGACCTTTGGGAAGAAGGGCTCTGAGAAGCGTGGGTAGGTGTTGCTGGGGTTAATGCTGGGGGCTGTTGAGCGATTCAGCAGCCCCCCGAGCGCATCTGCCAACTCTGAATTCACCAACTTCACCACCTTCTCATCATAGTAGTCACAATCCCTCTCCGGGACGCCCTGCCGCAGCAGGAAGTACCGGAACCCGTCCACGCCGTACTGCCCCATGCACACGCTGGGGTCCACCACATTGCCCAGGCTCTTGGACATCTTCTGGCCCCGCACAGTCCAGTGGGAGTGCACCAGGATGCGCTCAGGGGGCTCCAGCCCTGCCGCCAGCAGCAGCGCTGGCCAGTACAGCGCATGGAACTTGAGGATGTCCTTGCCCACAACGTGGTGCACGGCCGGCCACCATGCGCCATGGCTCTCAGGATACCCCACCACGCTCAGGTAGTTCACCAGGGCATCCACCCAGACGTAGATGGTCTGTGTGGGGTCACTGGGCACGGGGATGCCCCACTGCAGCCGGTTTCGCTCACGGGACACCGACAAATCTGGCAAGTCCTCGTCCAGCCAGCGGAGCACGCACTGGTAGAAAGGGTCAGGAAAAATGGCACGTGGGTTGTCCCGAAGCCAGTTCTGCAAGGGATTCCGAAATGCTGAGAGCCTGAACATGTAATTCTCCTCCTTGGTCCAGTGTACCTGGGACAGCAGGAGAGGAAAGGATTATGGCCCCAAGAACAGGCTGATAATTTGCACACACCATTCTCAGCATGGGGGGTGTTGCACACTCCCGTGTCTGGGTGTCCTCTCATGCCATGGGAAGCTGTCAGCACCTTTCCGTGACTAAGTAGCAACCTTCTTACCCAAGACGCTGCCTCCTTGAGATCCCCAGGAACACACCTGAGGACTCAGGCACCTGGGATGGTTCAGCATCCTGCTTCTAAAAACACTTGTAACCTTGGGAAGGAACACCTTTCCACCTGCTAGGCTGATGTGACATCAGAAAGAGTTAGGGAGATGAGAATACACCTTCTTAACAACATAGTTTTGCAATAATAGTGGAAAATCATGAAAAGACAAAATGACACTAATTCCTGCCCTACTGCCACTCCTGGTGTCTGCCTTTGCTCTCCTGGGGCCATGCTCCTCTTTCTCCTCAGTTTATGCTTTAATGCATCTAAGTCACTAACTTTGTTTGCTTACAGCACTGACAGCACTTCTCCCCCACAGTTAAATCCATTAAATGACACATTTAGCTAAACCAGGGAAAACGTGGTGGGTGGATGTGGTACGAGTGAGCTGTGTAAGGCACTCAGGGATCCATGGCTGGGTCAGCAATCTTGCAGTGCACAAGGAAGACCTGAAGAGCATCATCAAAGACAAGCTGTACATCCTCAGCCCCAGGCTCCATCGGATGCCAGAACCCACTCACTCACCAGAAGTCTGGGGTTTATGGCATGTGCAAACTTGTCCTTTTCCTTCACAAAATTCCAAGGAACAAACTGCCCAACTGCCTCTTTCAAGTTGGAAATAAACCCCCCCACTCCTTCTCACCACACTGCAAGAGCTTCTCTGCCCCATGCACACTCCTGTTTCCTTGGACAATTCAACACACAGGCGAGGAACAGTTCCTGTTGCAGGAACTGTTCTCAGGGTATTCTTGACTTTAAAGTCTGCTGACTTTTTTAAGTCTAAAGAATGATTAGTTTGCCTGGAAACTTATCTTTTCCCCAGTTATCTTAGGTGCTTTCTCAAGAGTTACTATTTGCCAATATAGCCTTTTCTGTGTGGACCAACGCTCCCACATCCCAGCCTCATACAAATAGCACAGCATAACAGGTGCTGAGCTCTGAGCACGATTATCTGTAGTTGCTGGATTAAATTATGTAACTCCACACCTTCTAAGAAAACAGTGGCAGAGAGATGCTTGGGAAGGTACCACACTCCTGGGCATGCCCATTCTGGCTGAGCAGAGGCAGGTGATGTTACAGTGCTTTAGGCAGGGCCAAAACCCATTTAAGAGATGGGTGAGTGTCCAGAGGCCAAACTAAACTGTCTCACAAAACAGGTCTGAAAGTCAGAGCCCCTCAGTGAAATACACCCTTATCCTGCTGTTCAGCTTCTGTCATCACTCCTGTAGAACACCATTCCCAGGCCAACAGCCTGTGGACTCAGAAGGGGCTGAATCCTTCCCGTTGCACATAGCTGCAATGTGTACCTGCCAGGTGGGGTCTGCCAGCTCTCTGACACTCCACTGAAATACAGGTGAGTCTCAGCCAACAAAAATTAATAAATGGCTACGGGAAGCATTAAACACCCCAAATGTGGCCGGAGCAGAGCGGCAGGTGAGCGCGCAGTGCTCCTGCAGCCTGTTACCTCGTGGCCGGTCTCCAAGGACACCTTGCAGGGGCGGCCCTGGGCGTCCGTGCCCTCGGCCAGCTGGCTCTCGGGCAGGAAGCTCTCCTCGGGTGTGCAGTACCAGCCCTCGTAGGAGCCCTTGTAGAGCACCCCTCCATCGCGGAGGGCACCCCAGAAGTGCCTCACGGCTCGCTGGTGCCGGGGCTCGCTGGTGCGCGTGAAGTCGGTGTAGGCGACGCTGGCCTGGGTCAGGGCCCGGCGGAAGAGCCCCGAGACCCGCTCGCAGAGCTCCGCCGGCGACGTGCCCGCCGCGGCCGCGGCCTGCTGGATCTTCAGCCCGTGCTCGTCCGTCCCTGAAAGGGAGAGAGGCCGCAGGGCCGTGGGGAGAGGCCGGAGCCCACAGCCCCGCGGGGACACAGGGGTCTGGGGACACGGGGAGGGGAGTCAGCCCCGGCAGAACGGGTCATCCCCGGGGGAGGGGTTCGGACCGGGGGTCTCGCTGACCCGTGCAGAGCCGAGCCGGGCCGGCGGCGCGCAGGCGGCGGTGGCGGAGCAGCGCGTCGGCCAGCAGCGCCGAGTAGAGGTGCCCGATGTGCGGCGGCCCGTTCGCGTAGAAGATGGGGGTGGACAGCAGCAGGCGGCGGCCGGGCCCGGTGGCGGCGGCGCGGCGGAGCGGGCGCGGGAGGCGGCGGGGCGGCCGCCACATGTCGGCAGCGGCACCATCGATGCGGCGGCGAACCGAGGGACCGGCGACCGGCGACATGTTCCGCTGCCGCGCGGGCCTGGCGCGCGCCCTGCGCCCCCCGCCGCGGGGACGCGCC